AATGAGGGAAGTCAAGATATCATGGGAGCACTGCGGAAGAGCACCGCCCCAGCCTGGGGGATGGCAGGGAAAGCAGAGAAGGCTTTGCAGAGGAAGTGGAGACATGAAGGATATATTGTGTATCGAAGAGTAGGGGGCAAAAAGCGTTCAAAGCCATGTTCCAAAGATGAAAGGTGAGTGGGAAAGATAGAACCTTTGACGAACTGAGAAGTTAGGCAAGTTTGGATAGCAGAGTGTGAGACAGGAAGATTGAAAAGTAAGCAAAGAGGAGCCAGTAAGGATGTGCTTCAGGATTCTGACTTGAACACCTTGGTGGTGCCACATCTACTGAGATCAGCGCAGAAGAAGTAGGTTTGGTTTGAAGGAGGCTCTGAGGTGACAGTGACTCAAGTTTGAATTCACCACTAATTCTAGAACATGGGAATGAGTTTTTAAATGTTTCTGAAAGATGTCAAAAGCTAATGGAAAACTGAAAAGTTAATTAGCAGGTTTAAATGATGTTGTTACTGTAGGCTATCATGACATCCTGCAAATAGACTCAGACCTCTTAGTTTCTGCCAATTGTATTTTTTTTCATCCAGTAATTATTTCTTAATTTTGATACTTACCATCATCTTATTGCTTAAAATTTACCAAATGTGTGCCTGAAGAATGGGTGCCCAGGAATGAAGAACTACAGTGAGCTGCTGAGGGGCTGTTGTCTTCTGGCTTTTCCAACACTCCTGCACCCTGTTCTTAGATTTCCTTTGCCATGATGTAAGTTTTTATTCTAATATTGCATGCACTCATTTTTGAAAGCTTACACTACCTTTTAGGGTGACTAGAGAAAAGCATAAGTTAGTATTATTGGACTGTCTTTAGGCAGGTGTGTGATATTACAGAAGTGTAAGGGTGCAGACCTCACGCGAGGAAAAATGCTGCATGGTGAACATCGTACTCTGTATTGATCCCATTGCCCGGAGCATATGGGGAACAAATGTGATTGTCAAGTGAAAGGCACTGACATTGCTTCCAGCCGTCAACCATAGCCACTGCTTTTCATGCCCCTCTAGGCCTGAAATATCCAACAGTGAGCTTTATAAACGATTCCTCTTTAATAGTCGAGCAACCCAGCCACTAGGGAGCATCCAAGTTCATGTGCCTCTTTTTGTTTGTTTGTTTTCAACAGGAGTTTAGATAATGGGCTGTGTGCAATGTAAGGATAAAGAAGCAACAAAACTGACGGAGGAGAGGGATGGCAGCCTGAACCAGAGCTCCGGGTACCGCTATGGCACAGACCCCACTCCTCAGCACTACCCCAGCTTCGGCGTGACCTCCATCCCAAACTACAACAACTTCCACGCAGCCGGGGGCCAAGGACTCACCGTCTTTGGGGGTGTGAACTCTTCGTCTCATACTGGGACCTTGCGTACGAGAGGAGGAACAGGTCAGGATTAAGCTGCTCTTAAATCTTTTGGCAGTTGAACGTTTGTGCTCCTTTGAGGATTCAACATTTAAGTTTTTAATCACTCTCTGCCTAGCCTCTACCAGATAAGGGGCTGTTCAAAATGCTGAAGGTTGATGGACAAATCTAGGTGCTGGCAGCAGTGGTGCAGGGGACCCCAGTAGCTGCTCTGTCAGAATCCTGCAAGGGTTACGAGAGACAACCTGCTGCTGAGTCACTTGAGGCCAGTGGCTCTCAACCTTGGCTGGCTGGCTCAGAATAACTAGGCAGCTTTTACAAAATATAGATGCCTGAGCCCCCATTCCAGGTCTTTTACATCAGAAGTCCCAGGACTGGATCTGAATATGGATGTTTTGAGTTCTCCAAATGTGAAAGCACTCCTTCCCCGCATCCCCCGGTTAAGAGCACTTACAGGATAGTACCTGCCCTTTCAGCTGCCTAACCTCCAGCCTGCCTGTCGCTGCCCAGCTGGTGAGGCCATTTGGCCACATTATTTTTTGGCCATTTGTCTTCATTGATTTCTTCTCTGATGCTCCCATCATCTTCAATATGGCAGAGTTTATCAGCCCTCAAGTATTTTCATGTATCTTTTGTAGTTTAAAATCAAATCTTATGTATCCTTAAGGAATCTTCTCATATTTCTTTTAGGTTTCTTTCTCTTTCC